ACGATTACTCCGTGATGGTTTAATAGGGTTGCCCATTTACTGGCACAAAAGAACCTTTGATCGATAGTTCGGCTATTTATCGATTGTCGCGTTTGATTGTCAGTGCTCTTTGAGCTACCTTTTTTGAAATACGCTACTATGACACAAAAAAACATAAAATTGATGTGGTTTGTAATAAAGATAGAATGTGAAACCCATAATTCCAATTCATGATAAAATCCAACAATCAAACGATAATTTTTTCACATCCAAAATTACCAAAATCCATCACCAATCTTTGATTTTCCAAATCTCTACTCTCTAAAGACCCAAATCCATGTTATATAAAAGAAATACCCAAATCCATTATCCAAACCACTCGTGGCAGTTACTTAACTCTACAAAACATCCTATCGACGGGGAAGAATATTGAGTCGAGGAAGAAAGAAGCAGCGGTGGAGTGTCCATTATGTAACCTATTGGAAATCTAGCAACACATCTTCAGGGAATGCACATGGGTGATGATGAATCCCTAGATGAGGTTTATTGATCAGAATAGCACAGTTAAGGAATCCAAGAGTTCCCTCGAGCAAGAACTCCACACACAGGGTATGGTTTGAATGTGTGTTGGTGGAAGTTTTGTGCAATTCTCACGAAGGGAGAAAGGCTCGTAAACTATAGGTAAAAGCTCAGTCACGAACATCGTGATTAGCTGAACGATACAAGCACTCAAGCTGCTTAGAACTCATTCTAAACAACTCTCAAATTCACGAAGCAACAAGCTTTGTGAACCAAACTCAAGTTTGTATTCAATTCTATGAAATCTGAAAATTACAATGAATCAAAGCTACTTAAAAAGACCTAGCCAATCCTACTACTCTTAGAGAAGTCCTAAACAAATTACAATTGGAAAAGGAAATCAAACCAACAATGAAAAGGAACTAAACACAAAACAACAAAAGAATCCTAATCTGATAAGGATTCGGATTGCCTGGTTTCCAAAGACAGAAACTCAGCTTCGATACGATCTTTGGAGCTTTCGTTCGAGGCCTTCCATTCTTCATTCTAGTCATCCAACACCATGTCGTTGTAGTAGAAGAAACCTACTTCCATGATGCCCAAAGATCCAGCCTCGACTCTCTCCCATGTGCTTCGAATACTCCTCCAAAGTAGGGTTCTCAAACTGGTTCTAACACAGCCATTTTTTGGCAGAATTCCAGTTTCAACATAGATTTTTGAGACGCTTTAACAATGACTATCCTGCCCGTTTCTTGAGCTCCAAAATACTCAATCTTATAGAGAAACTAACCAGCTTCAAAACAAGACTTCATTTGCCCATTTCCATTGATCCAATGGGAAGAAACTTGAGTGCCAAGTAAGGTACCTGAAACGGATAAAACACTTGGGCAAAATTTGGGTTTCATTTCATAGCTTGAGATGGATTTTGATTCAATCCATTCTGGCTTGTAGATTGAGCCAAATGGGATCATATCAGGTGAGACAGATTTGGTCTACTACAGAATTGTGGCCTCTATTCGAAAAAGGGGAGGAACTATCATGCACAACGTGGTTTTGTGACCTATCAGAGGAAATCGATGAGGAAAAGCTAGCAAAACTCACGATGGTTCTATGGAACATTTGGAATGAGCGGAACAATAACCTATTCAACTAGAAGAAGGCAGAGGAATGGGAAATCGTGGGTCGGGCCCTCTCCCACTATGATGAATTCCAATCAGTCAGGCAAAATGAGGAAGGGAGGGGAGAAAGTGCACCTGAGCACCGGAAGAAGCCACCGACGAGATTGGTGAAGATCAATGTTGATGCGGCCATATTTGTAGGCGAGGGCATAGGAGCAGGGCTGGTGGTGCGAGACTGGAACGAAATTTGTCTGCTAACAGCGGTACGCTGGGACCGTCAGTGGAGGCCCGAGATTGCTAAACTCAAGGATATCGCCTTTCAATTGGAGGTGGTGGAAATGAAGGGTTACCCGGCGGTGGAAATTGAGTTTGATTGTCTGGAAGCGATTTCAAAGCTAAAGCGAGACACTTCAGCGCTGACGGAGGAGGGTGGACTGTGCGAAGAGATACGGGCCCAAGCCCAGACGTTGGGCCAGGTAAGCTGGTAGGGATGACAATCAAACTCATGGCCGCGGGTACCCGACCGCCCCCGACCCAGTCAACGAGGGACGCTTTGACCGGGTATGGGGCGGGTATGAGTAAACCCGCAAAACTCAAACCCACGGGTACCCACCCGACCCAACTCGGTCAACGCGAGTAAAATCCGTGTTGACGGGTTTTGGGTCGGGTTTGGGTTTAAACCCGTTCACTATTCACCGGGTTGGATTTGGGTTTAGGTAAACCCGACCCATGGGTACCGGTCCACACCCATATAATTAATTTTCTCGGTATATTTAATATACTAAACAACTAATCTTATTTATGTTTGTGGAGACATGTCTAATTTTTTCTTTCTAATTGTGTAGAATGAAGTTGATGTTATCGAGTGGAAAGTGAAGAAACTTAATTGAAAGGAAGAAGCTTTCAATTAATCATGTTATTTATGGATAATATGTGATTGACTTCAATTTTCTTGAGTTTTCTAGATTGGTGTTAGAACAATATGTATAGTTAATTTGTGATTTGCTTGAATTTTCTAGAATGATGTTTTATATGTGGATAAATTGTATTGGGAGATTGATATTTGACTTTAATTTTGATAGGAACTTGTTATTGTAAATTTTTTACAATAAAAATCTGCGGGTACCCATGAACCCGCGGATACCCAACGGGTTGTGTTGGGTTTGAGTTTTTCAAACCCAGTGAGTTTTACCCCAAGTTTTTTTCACAGATAAACCCATGAGTTTGGGTTTGGCAAAACCCAACCTAACCCAACCCATTGACATCCCTAATCGTAGCCCACACAAATTGTAACTGGAATGACCAGGAATTTTGGGAGGACAGACCACCCTATTTCGTTTTACCGCAACTTAATGCGGATTGTAACTTTTCTATGGTTGCTTAATAAAATCACATCAGGTGTTTTATATAAAATAAAAAACACTCTGGCGGTCGAATAAAGATGGGCTAATACCACTACAACACCCGAACTATTGCAAAAGTGCCACTTGTGTCCTATTCTTTTCAATATTCCATCTGTGTCCTGAACTATGATTCCGTTAGTGTTGACTTTTGTTGACCGTTTGTTTTTAACAGAAAGTCCAGTCAGTGCTGATGTGGCATCTGACGTGGAATTTCTAATATTAATTTTATTTATTATTCTATCTAATATTAATAAAATAAAAAAGGGAAACAATTAAAATATAAAATAAAATAAAAATTTAACCCACTAATCACCTCGTCCCACCAACCTCTTCCCCAAGATCCAGATCTGCAATTCACCACCACACCACAAAGCCTAAACCTATTCCCCAAGACGAACAGGCGCCCTCTTCCGCCTTTCTTCCCGTTTCAATCGTGCAGGCAAAAATATGGGGAAACAAACAACAACCAACAAGAATTGCCTTCTATAAACAACCCCTCAAGTTCAACGATTGGGGATATGAATCATCTGGTCGTATTCAGAGGTTGGAGATCTGGTTCTTCTGGTTTGAATGCGGTGGCGGTTGTGGCTTGATGGAGAGATGCTGATCGGAAAGATGAGAGGATTGACGACGTCAAGGTTTTAGGATACAGGAGGGCGACGCTTGTTTTGGGATGGAGAAGGTCGACGGCGGCGGCCGATACTGGTGGATTAACGGCGGCAAGAGTTTCGGGATGAACAACCCCAATACCCCCACTGTCATTTGCCTCTCCCAGCGGAGACCAAGAACGATAAGGGTCAAGGGTGTCGCATCATTCTTCTTCTCCCTTGCGAGCAGAGATTGATTTTAGCGGAGGTGGGGCAATTAAATCCCTAATTTGTTTGCTTGTGACGGAACAAAACAAAAAATTGGAGGGGACAGATCTGTGTCAGGTCGGCGGGCTTGGGCAATTTGGAGGGTCGGCGGGCTTGGGCAGTTTAGAAGGGAAGAAGGTGTCGTCGTCGGTGTTTGTTATGGACTAGAGATAGAGGAGAGTCTCATGGCATCGCCGTCGAAGTTTGGGGGTTTTCCAGGTTGGGGAATTTTTCAGAGAAAGAGAGAGGAATCACCAGAGAAAAACAGAGATCGATGGAGATGATTCAGTTGCGACGGGGATGATTCAAAGTTGAATTGAGAAACACAGATGGTGGATGGCGACTAGGCCTGGACTTTGGAGGGAAGGCGATGGGATGGGGGCTCAGGTGGCTGGACGGAGGAAGGAGGAAGGTTACGGACTTACGGTGGAAGAGAATGATGGGGGGAGGAGTTTCTTATTTTATGTTTTTTATTTTTATGAGAGTTGGAAAATTGTGTATTCATAATTAGTTTTTTATTATTAAGTTTTTAAAAATTTTTTATTTTTCTTATTATAATTTTATTTAAACTAAATAATGATGGGGTAATGATGTGGCATCTACATGGATGTCACTTTTTTGCCACATCTGCGAAAGTCAACAATAGTTTGACTTCCGTCCGGTCAACAGTTATCTTTAACGGTCAACTTAAATCGTCATGACACAAATGTCACAAACTCATATAGTTCAGGACACAGATGGAATATTGAATACAATAGGACACAAGTGACATTTTTCGAATAGTTCGGGTGTTGTAGTGGTATTAGCCCAATAAAGATAAAAGAAAGATATGTTGCCAGCCTGCCAGCAAGGTCCATATAATTGGGCTTTTCTTCCAATCTGTTCGGACCAAACCGAATAAAATAATGGCTCGGGATATATCAGTACGCCGGCTGGACGCCGGATGCTTCCCGGTTCAAGCTCACCTATTACGAAAAGCCGAAAAGGCCCTTTGCTACCCTCACCAAACACAGCTTAAGAGGCTTCTTCCTGATTGTCCAAAGTTGTCCATTCACTTGGGAAAAGATAAAAAAAAAAAAAAATGATTCTCTGTCTGAGATGCCGTAAACTTACAGTGTTGGTGAAGCCTGCGTGACTTGTCACTGTCTTCAGAATTTAGGGTTTACGTAAACTCTGCGTTTCGTGGGAGATCGATCGCTTCGCTTCCCCCGAACTTTCCGGACCCGCCGCCGCCTCCTTCTCACCGCTCAGTCGATCGCCGGACGGAAAGCTAAGAGCTCTGAGCAGAAAGAAAGTTCGACGGAGAAAAGAGGGAGAAGGGGGGAGGGGGTCGTTAGGCAGCCACGTGTCCCATCGCCTGCCACTTTCGGCTTGATCTTTTCTCGGATAAGAGCTGAGAAATTTCCAGGAAGTTTTGTCATTTTCAATTTCTTGGTTCTGGTTTCTCCTCCGACGAAGGTGCGTTAATGCTTCCTTTTACCGCTTTTCCATTTCTCGCCTTTCACGGAGCCACCCCGTTGACGGATTAATCGTGTATGTCAAAACGATTTGGGTTTTTGTTATTGATTGGATCCGCCCTTGCTTTCCCCGTTTCTGTTGTGTGATGCAGGGGTTTCTGGTGGATCTTTTAGGCGATGCTTGAATTAGGGCAATAGATGAACTGATTAGTTATGAGATTTTATCTTGAATTTGGGGGTAGAGGAGGGACACTAGTTTGCTTCGGAAGAAGCTAAAAGATGCCGTCTGCTAATTTCTCAAAGCTGAGAACTGCGGTTCAGAATGGGATTCAGAGGTCATTCGTAGGGCAGGAGAACAGGGTTCAGGAATCCGTTGATATTCTGATTGGTCAAAGCAAGTTTCAATTCTTTAACTATAAGTTGCTGAATACCGTTCGGATTGCTTCCCTGACAGACCTCCAGCTGATTTGGAGGCCCGGTATTGTTTCTCCAGCTGGAACCGATTCGCTGGTGGTTAACAGGGAGAGGAATATCTCCGTCGTTGGAGCGCTCTCGCGCACCTTCTCTGTACCATCAGTTTCAGGGCCTTCGTATCAAGTTGCTGGTTATCACTTCGATCGTGCTGTTTGTGACACTGGTGCAATTTCGGCTGGGAAGAAGCTAAAGAACTACGAAATGGCTGCTTCTTTGCAAAGATCTTTTCTTGGTGAGAGCCTCTTGGAGAGCCTTACTTCAAAAAAGGGTTCTCGTTTTCCTTGCTCAACCAACAGTGAGAAGGTTGCTTTTGGAAGTAGAAGCTGCAAAATGGCCAGTATGAGTTCGAGAAGTTCTGAACAAGGTTCTTCTAGCTCTCCAGCTTATGGATATTTGGCATATCACGCGGCAAAGAAGTTGTCTGGTATTGCGCCAAGCGCAGAGATGACAGTCAGGCATTTCCATGGCTCATCTTCAACATCCTTTTCGGCTGGAACTGCTCCTAATGTGAACTATGACAGTTCAAATCCCGAGGAAAGGCTTGATGGCAGTGCTTCAGATTCATCACAATCGTATGCTTCATTCCAAAGTTTTCATTTATCTACTTTGTTTTGACAGCAACGAATGATATGTTTGTGCAAGTAATTGCCGGAATTAAGTTGTCTTCTTTGATTGTAAATTGACCGCAGAAAGCTGTCAGGAAGGTCGCTCAAGCTACTGTCTGGATCATGCTGCCTGCCTCATCCTGATAAGGAAGAAACTGGTGGAGAGGATGCTCACTTCATCTGTTCGGATGAGCAAGCTGTGGGGGTGGCTGATGGTGTTGGTGGCTGGGCCGATCTTGGAGTTGATGCAGGACTGTATTCAAGGGAACTCATGTCTCACTCAGTTGATGCAATCCAGGAGGAGCCAAAGGGGTCTGTTGACCCAGCTAGAGTCTTAGAGAAAGCTCACTCTATTACAAAAGCTAAAGGTTCCTCCACAGCATGCATCATAGCACTCACAGAAGAGGTCCTTATTTCTCTGCATCTACTATTGTTATATTTAGTAAAAGTTGAAAGCTCATTGCTTAGATAATCAAGGAGATGGGGTCATATATAGTCAGAAACCGAGGAGAACAATGCCCATAGACGAGTAGTTGATGATGTTCATTTCCTGTGCAGGGTCTACGTGCTATAAATTTAGGGGACAGTGGGTTTATGGTAGTTCGAGATGGTTGCACCATCTTCCGCTCTCCTGTGCAACAGCATGACTTCAATTTTACATTTCAGCTTGAGTGTGGAAATAACGGCGACCTACCTAGCTCTGGTCAGGTATGTATTATGTACTTCCACTCTCACATAGTGCTAACCTTTGTTGTTTACCATCAGGAATTTTATTGCTTGTTCTTTAATATTCAAAGACCACTCTTGTTGGCAATCAATGTTTATCTGTTTAAAATCTGTTCTGTATCATGTGTAGCTATTCTCAGATCACTGATCCTTGTACATGGTTTGATATAGAATTGATATTTTTGAATACTTGACTATCCACAGAGCAAATCTGTGTGCTTATGAGTTGGAAAAATTCAGTTACGATTTATTTGCTTCAATAGTCTTATTTGGAGTGCTAGAACTACCTAAAAACCAGATGCCTTTATTTCAGGTATTCACGGTCCCTATTGCTCCAGGAGATGTGATTGTTGCAGGGACAGACGGATTGTATGACAACCTTTACAACAACGAGATCACAGCAGTAGTAGTGCATGCCGTGAGAGCTGGATTTGGGCCACAGGTAACGGCTCAGAAAATAGCGGCATTAGCACGACAACGAGCACAGGATAAAGACAGACAGACCCCTTTCTCAACCGCTGCTCAAGATGCTGGATTCCGTTACTATGGGGGCAAGCTCGACGACATCACTGTCGTCGTCTCTTACATTACCAATTCCAACGAGGTAACGAAGGCCATTGTTGTTGTTTGTTTGATGCTTGGATCCACCAGTCACCTTATTGGGTAGCTCTTGAAAGTTAAAACGGTTGGATTTCTTGTTGGTTGTTGTAATCTTATTGCAGGAGCGCAAGGAGGCTTCTTAAGAATCAAATGCCCCCCTTCTGCTTGGAGATCGATGGACACAATTTTGTCTTCTTGGAGGGTTAGTCAAATTGTCATATGTTAGTAACTGCAGATTGCTCCCCCATCAAAACTTGATGTCTTGTAAATACTCTCTTTATCTTCCCGCTGGTACTCTTGGTTGATTTGCCTAGTGTTACAGACTAGAACAGATGAGACCTGTTTCTTTCCTGTGTATAATACCAGCTACGCTGGGACGTTACTGAGCAAAGAATGGACTGTTTCTTCACTAGAAGCTTTTGCTAGATGCTGTTTTTGGGCGTGAAAGAGTAGATCACTAGATCTTGTTACATTTACACAAACATACCCCAGATATATAATAATAATAATAATAATAATAATAGGGATGACAATTTCGACCTGTCTCATTTTACTCGATATGTTTCACATGTTTTGAGGTGGGGTGGGACGGGCTCTTTCTGATCTGACCAATTTCATTCTTAGCTTATTTTTGTCTATGTAATTTTTTACTTGTGATTTTATTTTATTATTTCATATTAGACTTATAACAAATGTGTAAATAGGTGATGACCTTAATTTCTTGAATAATTTATCTGGTTATATATTGTATCTTGATTTTGGTAATGAAAAAATTAATATTTTTAATTTTCTATTTAAATTACATACACATATGGATCAACTTGTTAGAATCTTTGATTAAGTTTCATAATAAATTAAAGGGTTAATAGCATTTTGTACTCTCTACTATAATAAATTAACAAACGTACCTATTTACTAATTTTTTGCACAAACATACCCTTTTAATATTAAAACATAACAAGTGAACCCCTTCATTTAATTTTCTGTTAAGTGACCATTAAATGAACTAGGAAATTAACTTATTATCCCTTATTTACTCCTAATTCAGTTTTTAATTATTTTATTATGTTCAATATCAACTAATTAGAAAACAACAAAAACACACCCCTTCTCCCCTTCGGCCTGTACACATCACACCCCTTCCCCCTGCACACAATACACCCGACGGAAGTTTCCTCTTCCTCTGTTCTTCCGCGAGTACGTGAACCAGAGAAATTCGACTTTTAACACCGGCAGCTTGCCAATGGGGAAGCTGTGGTCGATGGGAGAAGCAGAGTAGAGGTTTGGCAGCCGAGTAGATGGATTGACGGGGAAGCGCCAGCGTCGCAACGTCTCGTGAAATTCGATAAGCTGGCATCGGAACGTCGGGGAGGAGCCGGGGAAGCTGGTCCCTGCTGTGTGATCGAGGGGAGGTTCAGATGGCGTTGGGACGTCGCGGGGAATGCGGAAAGATGGCGTCTTGTCTCGCCGGTACTCTCTACTTCAGACGCCGGCGAAATGCCGGAGCAGGTGTCGCCGCCGAGTCGAGCTTTTTCACCAGGGGAGAGTTCAACTGGGGAGTCGGACTAGGGATGGCAATGGGTCGGGTTGGGGCGGGTTTTGTCAAACCCAAATCCAAACCCATGGGTTTATCCGCCAAAAAAACCTAGGGTAAAACTCGTTGGGTTTGAAAAACTCAAACCCAACCCAACCCGCTGGGTATCCGAGGGTTCATGGGTACTCGTGGGTTTTTGTGATAAAAAATTTACAATAACAAGTTTTTTTCAAAATAAAAGTTTAACATCAATTTTCTCATAGAAATTAATCATACAAAAAACACCAATCTAGAGTAGACAAGCAAACCGCAAATAATCAATACAAATTGTTCAAAATTAAAGATAAACATTTATAAACAATAAGATTAATTGAAAGCTTCTTCCTCGTCAACTAAGTTTATTCACTCTCCACTTCATAATATCAACTTCATTCTAAACAATTAGAAAGAACAAATTATACATGTCTCCCCAAACATAAAGAATATTAGTTGTTTAAGGAAGATATATTATTTAGAATATTAAATATACCGGGAAAGTAATTATATGTGTGTGAGCGGGTACCCATGGGGCGCGTTTACCTAAACCCAAACCCAACCCAACCCGGTGAATAGTGTAGCGGGTTTAAACCCGAACCCGATCCAAAACCCGTCAACACGGGTTTTATCTGCGTTGACCGGGTTGGGTCGGGTGGGTACCCATGAGTTCGAGTTTTATTGCCATCCCTAAGTCGGACAATCTCTGATTGAGGGCTTCTCAATTAGTTTAGGGTTTATCTTTTTAATTAATTGATATTAAACATAAATAAAATAATTAAAAACTGAAATTTGGAGTAAATAAGGGGTAATAAAGTAATTTTCTAGCTCATTTAACGGTCACTTAACATAAAATTAGATGGAAGAGTAAACTTGTAACGTTTTAATATTAGAAGGATACGTTTGTGCAAAAATTTAGTAGAAAAGTGCGTTTGTTAATTTACCATATTAGAGGGTAAAAAATGCTATTAACCATAAATTAAATTATCCGACCTTTGATGATGTAGGTATTTATTTATTCACGGAATAAACCTGCAACTAAAACAACAATACTAACTTATAAATCCACCAAAACCAAACTACACCCGGGGGATCCGAATCCGATACCAACAAACGTTAAAAGAAGCAGACGAGGAAATAAGGCAGTGTTTGGCAAAGCACAAATCCCACTCTGTTTCAGCCATCAACTCCGGTGAACACGATCTGAGCGCCGTACTGAGGCCGCAGCGTCACGAAGTTCACCGGAGAGTGAACGTAAGTCTCCGACAGACGAAAAGCATAGCGCCTCAGGATCATGGCCAGGGCGAGCTTGATCTCGACCATGGCGAAGCTCTGTCCCACGCAAATCCTGGGACCCAAACCCCAAGGGAAAAACGCCGAGATATGCTTCCCTGGCCGGCCGAACCTCTCCGGATCGAACTGGTCCGAATCGGGCCCCCAGATCTCGGGATCGTAGTGGCAGGATATGATGTGGGAGACGATGTGCGTGTCGGCCGGAACTCGGATGCCTTGGATGTCGACGTCTTTGCAGACTTGCCGTACGATCAGCGGCGTTGGAGTGTAGAGCCTCAGGGTCTCGTTCAGAATCATGCTTATCTGCCACATTAGAGCCAGTTAGAGTCATGTAATCTAACGTCACTTTCAATTCTGAAGTTGGTGCATAATCCAACTTAGGGTTGTTAAACGGTTATCTTGATTAGGGGTAATAGATAAACAAATCAGTAATCTGCGATTAATAGTTACATCGATAACAGAGCAAACGGTAAATAATCGGTTGTTGATAGCCATATCTAGATAATTAGTATCTGACAAGTAAAGGATTAACTGACTTACTAATTAAGATCATTCTCACAATTAGGGCCGAAAATAATAGGCTCCTATGAGCTGCAGACATATGCCTAAAATAATAGGATGATTGAAGGCCTACAATATCTCTGACCTACCCTAGTTATAATAGTAGTGAATTATGTTCAAATGGAAACAAAAGGAGCACACGAGAAAGATGGACTTGCCTACAGTAGCTTGACAATAATCAACAACATTTAACCTTCCACGTAATTTTGTCGGGTTTATGAATTGAGTAATTGTTGTAGGGTCTCTTGTTCTTGTCTGATTCTTTAAATAAACTTGATGGTGTTATTGTGTACACTTGTTTTGTATTGAGCACAAGGCCGACCCTGAGGGTGTGCCAGTCGGTCCTCCGGCATAAGGCCTCTAAATTTTGGGGGCCTTCGGACCTCCACTATGTATATGACTAATTACAATTACGGATTATCATATTTCGATTATAAATTTAAAACGATATAAAATTTATGAATTCAGGTTTGATTATGGGTCAAAAACAATAATAAAAAAATTTAATTACAAAGGTTAAAAGAACGAACGAATCACATGAAGCGAATACTTGTTTTCTTATTAAAATGTTTTCAAACCATAACATAACTTATTCTTTATCATGTGTTTCCTAAATCTACAAAATATACAAAGGCAAAACATGGGTTGGAATTGCCCCATTTCAAACTCTAGGAATATGTTTGGTAATGATGCTTCTATATTTATATTTTATCTTAAGTTATTTATATTTTATAAAAAGAGATTAGTTCTAAAATCGAAACACAAGTAATATCGATTGAAACATTAATATTAAATTGTATGTTTAGTTTAGTTTAGACAAAATACAGAAGTGAATCAAAACATGGACCTTTATGACGAGTATAGTCATATTTTGTGACAAATCTACACATAGTATAATGATAAAATTTGAAAATGAGAGTCTCATTTCAAATTTCGTGGCCTGAGAGTCTCATTTTTTGTTACACATATGTATTTTTGTCAAGATGTTACTTTAGTTCCATTTTCACATTTAATCACTTTCTATAAGATAATAATTTCAGGTAAAATACCCCTTCTACTTGGTTGAAGAAGCTCTTTCTATAACATATGTGCAATATTTTAAGATTTTCCATTTCAAATTTCGTGAAATGAGAGTGAAACGAGGAAGAGTATTTTTGTAATCACAATTATTATCTACTTCATATAGAAAAATATCAATATCAAGATTTGAACCATGGTCTCTTCAAGCAAAAACAATAATCAGAACCAATTATACTAAACAAATTTGTTTAAGCTTCTTAAATTGTAGCCCCAAACACTAAGTGAAGATTTGAAAAGAAAGGACTTTTTCATCACGGTTAGCTAGCCTATTAAATATTCTGAAAAGCAAAGTTTAATGCAGGTTTTATAATTTTTTATAACCTATAAAACGACAGGTAATTTTAAAATTTGAATTAATGTGTATTTTTTCACATCAACTTATGACGGATCATATTTTAAAATGTTTATAAAATACATTCATTTTTTATTTTGAGACTCAATCTTTTTCAATGTATACAACTAAACACTCATTTATAAAATCATTATTGCTTAACTTCGTAGCTGAAAGTCTTTTTTACAGCTTGCAGTAACAAACATCGTCAACAATCACTTTAGAAGCAAGTAAAGTGATGAAGAAATTGAGATTTAGTATTTCTTTGCAACTCTGTGTGTGTTTGGGGGAGTGGGAGATTTTTTTTGTCTAAAAAATTTGAGAAAGGGTTGAAACTCATATATCATTTGTTCGAATATTGCATATTGAGTTGGAGTATTGGAAGCTATACATGATTCTTAAATTAGTATTAATTTTCAACCTAGTTGACCAATAGCCTTAGACCTTTTGCTAATCTGACATGGATTCCATAATCATAAGATGAGATTTTGTTTGATATGTCGGTTCAAAACCATTTTTAATGTGTAATGAATTTGTACGCCAAATACATGTACATAATTGAAGATGAACTTGATTATGCATTTTGATTCTTTAGATAAATAAAATGGTTAAAGCGATGAAATAACTATACACTCACTCTATTGGTTTAACAAGTTTCATTTTTATCACTTTTAGTAATTAGTTTATTCACAAGCTATCAAACTAATTTGCTCCATCGAAGAATAGGCGACCATCTGTTCGCCAGGTTTCAGGTGCTCTGAATCATATTATCGACTTTGAATGGAGAAAAAACATTTCGAACGCAAAATTGGAGAAGTAATTGGGATGTTTATAGGTTTCTCTCGATCCCAAACGGTGGGAAGAAAGAGGAAAGGAAAAGGGGGAGAGTGGTGAGATGAGATACAAAGCTCAGAGAGAGATGGAAGAACAAATAGAAAAACAAAGAGAAAGTCAAAGAGAGAGTGAGAGGACACATTAAAGAGTGCGAAAATGAAGTAGTTGGAATAATTGTCATTCTCCTTTGCTTAGTGGGTATTCTTGACCCTCTTCTGTTGAGTTTTGATTTATTTTAGGAGATGACATTATATTTGACAGATTTTTTAGTTTTAATTTAAAATCCAAAATCAATATTATCATTTGAATGATTTTTTCCTTAATACGATCATTGTAAATTCTGAGATTTAAGGGGTACTTGATAATGTCAATATTTTAGTGATTTTTTATTGAAAGTTTGAAATGAAAAATCGTACGTACCGGCGGTTCGACCATAAAACTTCACACCATAGGCTAAATCGAAGGTGATATTTAGCAATATGAAACAGTTGAACCACACTTAATTGAATTATGACTTCAGTATAAAATACTCTACTACCAAATTTTTTGATACGATATTACAATCCTTTGGTTTAAATAACTCTTTTACGCTCGTGAAAACTAAAGTTTTAAGGCACATTTTGAACTATTTATTGCAAAAAAGCATAATTCAGTTAGCGATAATGAGAATATGTGATCTCATTCAACCTAAATGACACTTTGCAACTTCTATCTTTTTAAAATAAATGTATGCTACCCATACCCTCGCTCATTCATCAACTTAATGAGTAACATATTTAATGTAATATGATTTTCATAGGTTTTTATTTATTGAATTATTTCATGGAAAAAAATATTTGTTGTATGAAAATTACTACATTGTAGCTAGACATGTCTGCGATCTGAGAATAATTTGGGAAGTCCGTACACAACACATTGTCCAACTAACTATTAGCGGCGACTTAGCATCATGTCCTATATATTTCAAATCAAGTAACTTCAGATTCATTACCAACAGTGTGATAAAAAAGAATGTTGTCTATTGGGAAAAACTTAAATGACATACTAAACTCTATGGGAGACATGCATTTTCTTCCATAGGGTTAATACCTTAGTTTTGCCCGAACTATAGACAAACTTTCTACTTTGGCCCGTGGTATCGGAAATTGCTATTCTGGCCTAAACTATGTAGCATACTTTCTTATTTCGCCCGGAGGCGGGAACTCGGTTGACCGTTAGTCAAAGTCCACCTCACTTGCCACGTCAGCTATCAAGGAATAAAAAATTATTCTTTTTTGAATTTTTGAGTTTTGTTTACTTTCTAAAATTAAATAAAAATAATTTGGGGAGCTTTTTTAATTATTATTTTCGTTTATTATTTTTATTATTAGAAAGTAAAAAAAATTCAAAATACAAAATTAATTTTTTATTCCTAATAGCTGATGTGGCAAGTGAGGTGGACCTTGACTAACGGTCAACTCGGTTGACCGTCTAATTTGACGGTCAAACCCGCCTCCGGGCCAAATAAGAAAGTATGCTACATAGTTTAGGCAAGAATAGCAATTTCCGATACCACGGACCAAAGTAGAAAGTTTGTCTATAGTTCAGGCCAAACTAAGGTATTAACCCTTTAATAAAGTAATGAATGACAATTAGTTATATGTCTTTCTTTTTTCATTCAATAATTATATGTAATGCTTTTATCATTTTTTTCTTCTTTTCATAGGTCTAAACACATTATGCATAGTTCTTAATCGGGCTCTACCAACTACGGAGGCGCTTATTGAGAATAAGGTTCATGTGCTTCCCCGGTGTCCAGTTTGCTGGGATAGCCCAGAGACGATGGAACATCTGTTCCTTTATTGTCCGGTTGCGCGGGCTCTCTAGGACTTTTCAGGGCTGGAATACTTGGGGGAGGGTTTGCCTCGCCATACCTCTCCTCTATTTCTCAAACGTCTCCTGGTGCTGATCCATCAACCATCGTTGTTTATGGCCGTTGTTGCCATCCTTTGGCAAATCTGGCGGTCTCGTAATTGGGTTGTCTTTGAAGGCAAACAGTTTGGGATCTCTGCGCTCATGCGTCAATTTAACCAACAATATGAGGAATGGGTGGGCTTGCCATCGGACCAGGCTCCTAGGGTGACTCGGCCGGTGATTCAGTCTGTGACTCAAGTGAGTGATTCACAGTTGGTTTCCATGTGGGATGGGGCCACTAGGAGTGGGTCACATTCGGCTGGTGGGATGGTTCTGTTTGACTCGGTGCAGACGCTCCTCTTGGCAAGAGGGGTTCAGTTTCCTCAAATGGACGAGCCTGCAGTAGTGGAGTTGCTTGTGCTTCAGGAGGCTATTATGTGGTGTTTGGAGTGTGGATTGTCTGAGGTCCGGTTCGACGGCGATGCGAATGTCATTATTGATAAAATTAATCAAGCCGACACAAGGGATAACCGATTGGGTGCTGTCCTAGAAGAGATAGTTCATTATTTTCGCGTCCATCCTGGGTTTAGTGTGCGATTTATAGGTCGGGAGAACAATATTGTAGCTCATTCGGTAGCTAGAAAAGCCCTCTCTTTGAATCCGAATATGAGTCGCTTCTTTGATTTTCGGGCCTGGCTGATGTACAGGATGTAAGTATCTATTTATTTTGGATTAATATATGATATATTTTGACAAAAAAAAACACATTATGCATAGTTGGATCACTTTCAAAAATGTTATGTGCATAACTAAAGTAGAAAACAATCATTTCTTACATTTAAACTCATCTATTATATCCATTATTATATACCATATTGTTCGAAAAAATTCTTCCGGCCAATGGGCCGAACCCTGTGCTAGTAGAATAAAAGAGGTAATTGATGATGCCTCATTATTAAATTTGTTGCTTTAACTTTCTTCATGTTCAGCTTCCCCCGCGCTGGGGGGGGGGGGGGGGGGGGTTCAATTTCGTCAATTAATATGCTTGTACTACCAATGCAAAACTGCTAAATTAATTAAATAATTCACATTGATTTATTAAATGTTAACCAAAATTAGGGCTGGGAAAATAGACAGGACCGTTAGAAAAACCGTGGTCCAAACTGTACCGCACAGTTTGGTCAGGACTGTAGACCTTTAAGTATGGTCTGGTCTGGTCCATGGTCTGTACTATTTTATGTTTTGATCTCTTCGTCTGTTCTAGTCTAGACCGCAGTTTACCGGACCAAACCGTGGACCCAACTGACTTGTAAATACGTGTTAACAGCCCATTCGACCACTCTCCCAACTCCCACAACGACACTCAAGTCTCAACCTTAGTTTTGTGAATCTCGTCCCTCCTTAAGTCACAACCACATTTAACTAGAGAGTAGAGATAATTGTGTCTCCATATGACATTATGTTAATGTTTATGACGTTATGGTGCAAGTTGGGATGCTTTTACTTTGTATCTTTGGTATGTACTAAGATTTAGAGTATCAAAATTATTCATGCATGTTAGGATTAATGATTTAAGGCAAATAACAATTATTTTTCTTGGTTATTGGTCAATTTTTGTGTGGTTTACTAAACAAATTATTCATTTTTCTTTGAGTGTGGTCTATCTGGACCAGACCAGACCAAACCAGACCGCACAGGCGTTGTCTGGACCGAACCGTATAGTCTATGGTCTAGTCTGTGGTCTATATTTTAGCCTCTCGGTCTGGACCATAGACCGTATAGATGGTCTGGTCTGGACCAGACCGCACCGTTTCCCAGCCCTAACAAAAATAGTTAGGTACAACCACCAAGTATAAAGAAACAAATTTACCAAATCAATTATAATTCGCATTGGCTTATCAACTATTCATGTGACTGTTGCTACAACAGGAAGAAGCTTTTTGAAATTGAATTCGTTGAAGTCTTATATGCGCTATATAATAACATAAGAGAGGCTTAATGAGTTAGATATGTTAGTAATTGAGAATAACTATTTGTATGATACAAAGATGGAAGAGCTAATAGAGGATTTTATTTCAAATAATACTAGATGGTTGTAAATTCTTAAACAATGTAGATAATTTTATTTTTTTGCAATCACTTTATGAACTTATGTATATTTATTATTATTTAATAATTTTTAATTTTAATAAATTTATGGGGAAAATTTTTAGGGACACATTTTAAATTCTCGAACAGGGCCTCCGAATACAATGGGCCGCCCTGATTGAGCTTGGATTGAAATCTATGTCAAATTATTTTTTATTGGATGATAAAACTATAAAAATGGAACACATAATACAAAAATGCACAATTAAAAAAAAGGAGGTGTTATGTTGGTTTTGTCGATTGATTATTTTGGTCTAACCTTACTTAAATGGTGCGTTAACAATAATCACAAATTGTTTCACGATTAACTGAAAATCGACTAAATGATTACAGTTATAACCAAACCGAATTGAATGACAACCCTAACCCAAGTTATTGATCACTTACGAGTTTGAGACGGCCGACGAGTTCTGAAGTGGGAGGAGTACTGCGGTCTTTAAAGAGCTCGACAACTTCTTGGCGGGCCTTGAGCTGCCAATCCTGGTTCATGGCCAGCAAGACAACTGCCCAAGTGAGGACGTTGGCGGCTGTTTCTTTCCCTGTAACGTAGAAGGTTTTGCATTCGTCTATGATTTCTTCCACTCCCAATTTCTCGTCTTCACCATCTGAGTTCTTGTGGGTAGACATTAGCAAGCTGAGCAAATTCCTGGAGTTCCTGGTGTTGGTCACCATGATCAGCTTTCCAATCGATTCTCTGATTTCCTTGTTCAGGCTCCACCTTTTCCTGTTCATTTTGGTGGGCAGAAACCTGCATATACATTGATTACACAAAACCCTTATTGACCTTTTTCTCTTGCAAGGAGGGTGGAACTGGTTTGATAATGAAGGCTTTTTAAGAATATACTAATTTTTTAAGAACGTATTGTGTTGTCTAATGATAAAGAGTTTATGGTCCAATGATAATTATGTAATTATTATAAAAGAGTGTTACGCAGATCTTTTGTATTGTATGGTCTAATGATGAAGAGCTTATGATCTAATGATAAACTGTTGTGTTAGAATATGACTTGAATTTGATTTGGGTTTGTTTTGTGTTTGGGCTTATTTTGTTTGGGTTTGAGTTTGGGATTGGGTTTTGTTTTGACCTTTTCCTTGTATGTTTGGGAAAAGGTATTTGGTTTTCTGTTTGGGATTAGGAGAAGAGTTATATAAATACTCTTCATCACCCTAGTCTGAAAAAGGTCAGTCAGGTTAGTTTGTTTGGTTTGTCCGTTTGGAATTTGGTTTGTAACCTGTACTCTCCTCAAATCAGTGAAATTTGTTCTCCCCTGCCCGGGGATTAGCTAGCACGCACTGTGTTAGTGAACCACGTTAAATTTGTGTTCGTTCGTGTTGGTTTGGATTATCGATTGCACGCTTCTGTTCTGACAAGTGGTATCAGAGCCTTTGGTTGTGGTTTTGGGAATTTGGCGCTGGACTGAAGTTTTGCTTTGTGGAGTTTGGTTGGAGTTTGTTTGATAGTAAGAATGGCTGCTATCAGTATGAAGATTGAGAAGTTCACCAGAAGAAACAGTTTCAGTTTGTGGCAAATCAAGATGCAAAACTGTTGAAACAACAGGGTTTGTGGGCTCCGTTGTCTGAAAAATCGAAGAAGAAAAGCATAGATGAAGAAGAGTGGATTACTTTGGAGGAGAAAGCTCACTCTACAATCTTGCTTTGTTTGGCTGATGACATCATCACTGAGGTTGCTGCTGAGAAGACTGCTGCGGGTTTGTGGTTGAAGCTTGAAAGTCTATACATGACAAAGTCTTTAACCAACAAGTTGCATATGAAGCAACGTTTGTTCAGTTTGCGTATGGAGGAAGGTACGTCTCTCAGGAATCATCTAGATCAACTCAATACCATCTTGCTAGATCTGCGGAATATTGATGTTAAAATAGATGATGAGGATGCTGCCTTAATTCTGTTAGTATCTTTGCCACAATCATATGAGAATTTTGTGGATTCTTTTATTGCTGAGAAAGATAGTTTGTCTTTGGAAGATGTCAGATCTGCTCTACATACTAGAGAGGTTCGACATAAGGCATCTGGTTCATGTTCAGAAAATCAGGCATCTGGGTTGGCTGCTACGAGTAGTAGGAGACAACAATCTGGTAATAGGAAGGCGAATATAAATTCGAATTCTGCTGGTTTGAAGGATGATATCTGTCATTACTGTAAGGAGAAGGGATATTGGAAATTCGATTGTCCTAAACTAAAGAAGTATCAGGAGAAGAAGGAATCATCCGTTGTTGTGGCGGAAGAAACTAACTCTGATTCTGAAGATGGTTTAGCCTTAGAAGTGAATGAACAGGTACATCATCAGGATGTGTGGTATTTGGATACTGCAACTGATTATCATATGTGTCCAAGCAGGGAGTGCTTTTCAACTTATGAGCAGATAGATGGATGACATATTTCTATGGCCAATGGTGCTATCTGTAAGATTGTTGGAAGAGACTTTTGAAGAGTTTGGTGTCTGAAAATTTTGGTTGCATTTGAGTTTGGCGGTTTCGATCGCATTTGGATACGTCTAGCAATATGTATCGCATCTGGGTACATCTGGCAACTTTGGTTGCGTTTGGTACATCTGACAACTTTGGTTGCGTCTGGTACATCTGGTATTTGACAGAGAATTCAAGTCAAGGTGGAGATTGTTAGAATATGACTTGAATTTGATTTGGGTTTGTTTTGTGTTTGGGCCTATTTTGTTTCGGTTTGGGATTGGGTTTTATTTTGACCTTTTCCTTGTATGTTTGGATAAAGGTATTTGGTTTTCTGTTTGGGATTAGGAGAAGAGTTCTATAAATACTCTTCATCACCCTAGTCTGAAAAAAGGTCAGTCAGGTTAGTTTGTTTGGTTTGTCCGTTTGGAATTTGGTTTGTAACCTGTACTCTCCTCAAATCAGTGAAATTTGTTCTCCCTGCCTGTGGATTAGCTAGCACACATTGTGTTAGTAAACCATTTTAAATTTGTGTTCGTTCGTGTTGGTTTGGATTATTGATTGCACGCTTCTGTTCTGACATGTTGTGTAACAATCTAACCATAGAAAACCTTAATATAATAGAAATATTTAAGAGCTTATGGTAAAATTGGGTGTAGGGGTAAATACTCCATATGAACTGTAACCGTGGGAAAAAAACATGTATATTCCCTATAATTTCATGAGGAACAGTGCAATCTCTCTTGCGCTGTTAATTATTATATAATTAACATTCGTTTGTTGTAGTTGTGGTTATGATTAGGGCGGCAAATGAGCTTTATTCGACGTTTGACTTGGGAAAAAGTTGTTCGATAGTCGGCTCGTTAGAGCTTGTGTTAAGCCTTCTTCGATTTGTAAGGTTTGCGAGGTAGCTCGACTCGTTGATTTGTTGAGGTCAACTCATGAGCTAACTCGTTCTAAGCAATGATCTGGCTTAACAGTGCATAGCGGCCAATGAGTGAATAAACTTGTAGCTTATTGTGTTGGCTTGTTGACAATTCATAGAGATTTATTAGATTATGTCACTACATATGATGTTCCCAAGTTTGAGTACATGAGCAATTGTGTTTTATTTATAATTTAAAAGATAAATTATGTATCATAGATATTGTTTTGATACTAATCACTATTAGTTTTTCCCGCCAATTTATTCAATAATGCATTACCAAAGAAGAGGCATGTTGGAGGTTGTATTCTTAACGCTAATATTCTTAAGAACAAAGAGTGGGGTGGAAAAAGGGGCCGAGGGAAACTCTCCATTATTGATTTTCTTGTAGCTCAATCCTTCGGAACCACAAGAATCCTTAGTTAGAATGCTCTGTGTATTGGTGACTAAATAAAAAAAAAACTTACAATTCAAATCTAATAAAAAGATAGGATATAACTAAAGCAACAAACTAAAGAAAACATAAAAAAGTCAAGGTCCGTCTTCGCCGGGTGAGCATATAATTATAACCCACAACAACTTTTTTCTTTTTTAGAAAGCTATAAAAATAGAAGATTTGTATACACAATTTTTAAAGTCACTCTGTTGTGTCGGAATTGCAACCACTACCCTAAGTTTCAAATCGATAGATATCTTAGTTTATGCCTACGACAAGTAATGCTCATAAATAGTTTCAAAACTATTCAAATGAGGATTGTTGAAATTCATCTTGAACGAACCTACCGATTGGATCTTAAGGAGAGCAAAGAGTGGGTTGAAGACCAGCCGAGTTATAGAACATGGCTCGGGGGTTTTTTACTGTAACAATAGACTCTAGTTCAACAAATGCTCCATCCCGTCGATCAAGCAGCAACGCTGCTCGTGATAGTCGTAGATTGTTACTCTTAATGGATATGCTCTCATGCCTCCTCGAGGTATCACGGATTCAGGTTGAGACTATTATTCAACGATGATTAAGTTTATTAAGTACCGATTTAGTCAGATTTTTTTCGGGTCCATTTTGGCAGATTTCAAAGGGTTGCCATCACAGATTTCACGCGATTTTTTCGAATTATCGTTTCTCTTAGATTTTGAAGGCTACATATCTGAATTTGGCACAAGACTATTCTCCCTCGACCAAAAAGTCAATTAATCGCCGACTTGAGCGGATTTTTTCGTAGTTTATTTTCTCAAATTACTAGGATTTTGAAGGCTACGGATCACATATTCGGTCATTGGCTATTATTCACCGATGATTAAGTCTATTAGCACCGATTTGGACGTATTTTTTGGTCCATTTTTGGATCCCAAAGTGCCATCATAGATTTCAAGCAATTTTTTGAAAGTCAATTTTCCTTGGATTTTGAAGGCTAAAGATTACGGATTCGGTCTTAGACTATTCTTCACAGATGATTAAGTCTATTAAGCACATATTTGGGTGTGTTTTTTTCAAGTTCATTTTTGGCATATTCCAAAGGAGTGTACAATCATAGATTCGAACGATTTTTTCGAAAAGCCATTTCCTTAGATTTTGAAATTTACAGATAAATGATTTGGGCCGAGGCTATACTTCATTGATGATTTAGTCTATTAACCACAAATTTGGGCGGATTTTTTGGACAGCATTTTCGCAAAGGGGTACCATTACAGATTAGAGCGGTTTTTCGCAAAGCTATTTTTCTTCGATTTTGAAAGTTATAGATAATGGATTTGGCCTGAGACTACGCTTCACTAATGATAAAGTTTATTAAGCAACGATTTTGGAAAAAAAAATTAGGGTCCATTTTTTACAGATTCCAAAGGGGTACAATCACAGATGTCACACGATTTTTTTTAAATTCCATTTTCTTTGGATTTTGAAGGCTAAAGATAACGAATTTGGCCTTAGTCTATTCTTCACCGATGATTAAGTCTATTAATAACATATTTTGGGCGAATTTTTTCGAGGTTCATTTTTTGACAGATTCCAAAGGGGTATCGTCACAGATTCGCGCGGTTTTTTTGAAAAGCCATTTTCATTGGATTTGAAAGTTACAGATCTGGCCTTAGGCTACGCCTCACCGATGATTAAGTCTACTAAACACAAACTTGGGTGGATTTTTTGAAGAGCATTTTCATAATTTTTGGGCAATTTTTTCATATTGACATTTTCTTTGATTTTAAAGGCTAAGATCGCAGATTTGGTCTCAAGCTATTCTTCACCGATTATTAAGTCTATCAAGTACATATATGGACGGATTTTTCCAGGTTCCTTTCTGGCAGATTCCAAAGGGGTACCATCACATATTCGAGTGGTTTTTTTCCAAAAGTCAATTTCCTTTGATTTTGAAAGTTACGATGACGGATTCGGCCTGAGCCTACGCTTCATCGATGATTAAGTTTATTAAGCACCGATTTTGGTTTTTTTTTGGGTCCATTTTTTACATATGCCAAAGGGGCACATCAAAGATTTCAGACGATTTTTTCGAAAGTCCATTTTTCTTGGATTTTGAAGGCTAAAGATCACGGATTCGGCCTTAGGCTATTCTTCACTAATGATTAAGTCTATTAAGCACATATTTGGGCGGATTTTTTTCAGGTCAATTTTTTGTAGATTCCAAATGGTACCCATCACATATTCGATCGGTTTTTTTCGTAAAGCCATTTTCCTTGATTTTGAAAGTTATAGATAACGGATTCGGTTTGAGGCTACTTTTCACCGATGATTAAATCTATTGAGCACCACTTTTGGCAAAAAAAAATTTGGTTCCATTTTTGGGAGATTCCAAAGGGTAACTCACAGATTTTGGGTGATTTTTTTAAAATTCCATTTTCCTTGGATTTTGAAAGGTAAAAATCACGGATTTGGCCTTAAGCTATTCTTCACCGATAATTAAGTTTATTAAACAACGATTTGGGCAGATTTTTTCCATATCCATTTTTGGCAGATTCCAAAAGTGTACTATCACAAACTCGAGCGGTTTTTTCGAATGATCATTTTCCTTAGATTTTGAAGTTACAGATCACGAGATTGATGCCGAAACTCTAATACTAGAGATTGCTCTGATTCTTATTCACACCGAAGTGCTTTATAAAGAATGGCAAGATGGATTACTTGCCATAAAGGTTAAGCACCTCAGGGGAAAATAACATGATAGAGCAATTAAATATATGAACTAAATAATATTATACTCTATATCGCGTTTTTCTCGTAATCTTATTGATGAGTCGAACCCGATTAGAATTTCGTGAGCTCATTATTAAGTCAAGCTCGAGTCAAACACAAACCAATATGCAATAAATAAGTCGAGCTCAAATTCAAATCGTTTATTAACTAGCTAAAATGAAGTTGGATAAAAACTCGGCTCGATTCTACTCATTCAATCTTGTTGTGATTGCTTGAAACGACAAATGTCTTGCCACAATAGTAAGCGCTTACCGGAACCCTGGAATGTAGACATTGAGCAAGGAAGTGAAAAAGAGCTGCATTTGTTGTTCTTGTAATTGGAAAATGCGTTTCCCTTCTTCAAAGCTGCTCCCGAAAATGGTTCTCGATATGATATCTGCCGAAAGGGTGTGAAACTCCTTATGTACATCAATCTCAAATTCACCTCTCCCTTCCTTCCAGTTTTGAAACATGTTGAGGACACTATCCGCCATTTTTGGCACCCATCCCTTTTGGTAAAAATTCACCACCAACAAACATAGTATGCATAAGAAAACCCAATCTCATTTTCAAGAGTTCATTTCATTGTCATTAGCAAGCTACCCTGTTTTAGCAGAAAACAGAGATGTTTTACCTTTACTTGTTCCATGTTCAAGGCAAGTGCAGCGATCCTTCGATGAACAGCCCATTTCTGTCCCTTAAGTTCAAGAAGCCCATCTCCCATAAGCTGCTTGGACAGAGGGTTGGAATCTAATCTCTGAAACGTTCCATTGCTGTTCATCAGAACTTCCTTAACAATAACTGGGTCAGAAATCGCCAGCCTCGGAGTACTGCCAAACCAGTACAAGTACGTCTTGCCGTAGATTCCTGACCAATCAAAGTACCCAGGTATGGCGTTCTGAAGGACTCTAAGGTGATACTCGTAAGAAGTTATCCTCCTTGTTCTTGCTTCCGCCATCTTCAGTTTGGACTCCGACGAGTTGCCGGTGATCGGGCGATAACCGGGCCCTGTAATCCCCTGTTTCTTGAAGTGTCGCTGAATGATGTACGGGCGCCATAAGACCGAGCGGAGAATTCCGATAAGGTGAAAGAGGATTGTCAGAGTGAGTAGTATGATCGAAATCACGAGGAACATGGTGATTGATTGGGGGACTTTTTTGGTGGTGCGGTGGGGAGGAAACAGAGTCGCGATAAACAGGGGAAGATGGGTGCGTTTCAATGGATTATTATGAGATGTATATATGTTGCTTTGCTTCCTGGGAGAACTTGGTTTGTTGAATCAGCTATGAGAAGGATGTGATGCTTCCATGGGAGAATTTGTTAATACATCAGCAAACCTACGCTAACTTTAATAAATTGTGGTTAGTTAGCTACGAGCTATCAATGTGATAAAGAACCTCTGCACTTAACTAAATGAGAAATGTGTGTTGTGTGTTGATTCATGTAGTTTAATGTATATTCATGCAAGTTGAGGTTTATTGAAGCAATACTAATGGTTATTCACGCAATAATGGTATTTTTTTACTCGAGATAAGCACTAAGGGCATATGACCGAACAATTCAAATAACCGACAAGAACTATAAGTGGCCGTTCGTATGCAAACAAGCTACTATTTTTTTTATAATTCATATGTATTCCAAATCAAAGTTTAGTGACTACATTGCTCACTTTAAAAAGTAAAGGGACTAGAAAGACAGGTGGCCTATCAAGCCACATTTCTGTTTCTTCGATTCTGCCTTTCAATCGTGTCATCTCATGGGCACACCCATTTCCTTCCCTCTTCCAGAATCTCCACCCAACATTTCCACTCTCCTCCGCAGCATCGCGAATTTCATCACAGATCACCGCCACCTCCATATTTGTGGTCTCCCGCCGATTGAGCTTCTGGATTAGAGATTGGCAATCCGACTCCAACAGCAACGCTTGGGGTTGGTGTGCTCGAGCCAATTGCAATCCCCATAACATCGCCTTCGCCTCTGCCATTTCAATCGGCCATTTCACTTTCGTCCGGTGAGTAGCTCCCATTATGAAATTGCCATCACTATCTCTTAAAACCATTCCATAACATGTTCCTTCTTCTCCTACGATCGCCGCATCTGTATTCAGCTTGAGGACTCCCGCAGGTGGAGGCTCCCAAATAGACCTAACTCGGGTTCTTGGCACTGGAGGTCCTGGGTTGCCCTGAACTTGTTGTGTCGCGTACTCTTCCAGGTATCTGGGCTTTCCCCACAATCTCCCATTCTTCTAGTTTAGGGTTGTTGAAAAGCTGGTTGTTGCGCTCTTTCCATAGGAACCATAGTGTGATTAGCACTTTAGTTAGCTCTTCCCTATTTGCTTCTTCGATCATATCACATAACCAAGCTTCACAGTTTTTCCCTTCACCCATCTCAAAGAAGTTTGCTAGGTTATTAGGTCTCCATACCTTCCCTACCCAATCACATTCCCTTGTAATGTGTTCCTAAGTTTCCAACAGTCCACAGAAAGGACATTCATCAAAAGCATCTTTAATTCGTTGACTTAGGTTGACACATGTTGGTAGGATGTTACTTCCCCACCTCCAAACAAAGATACAAACCTTTGGTGGCAGCTCAAGCATCCATAGATGCTTCCACTCCACAGGCACATAGTTTTCAATTTGGTTTGTGGCTTGTGCCTTCCTCCACTCCTTGTATCCTGATCTGACTGAGTATTTGCCAGTCTTCTCTCTTCCCTAAATCTGTATGTCGGGTCTAGGTTGGGGAGGAACAAGCTACTAATGAAAAAGTCTATTTGGCCACTAAAAGGGCAAGTAGTTCTATGAAAGCTCAATGGTAGGGCAAAAGCGTAATGCCTCAATCCTATCTCGTAGTAAACCGGAAAGTCCGGGTATCGTCTCTCAGGGACTGGTACAACCTTATAATATATCAATTCTATGAGCAAACTATAAGTGAAAATAGTTGAATGAGACTAATTTCTAAAATCAAAATAAACTAAACAAATTAAGCAAATGAAAACTGTCGGGAGAAATTCAATGGAGAAAGCTTTGGGAGAAACACCGGGATTCACTACCTATCCTATCCAGATTAATTCACATATTCGAATCAATTTAATGCATACCTCTACAGCCAGGATATCACGAATGTGCTAGCTATCCCTGTCGGGAATTACTACGTACTAAATAATCAATTCAAATCCTACTGTCGTAGCTCAACGAATTAACTATATAGTCTGAAGATTGATATCCTATTTAAGACCGCATATCACCTTATTTAATCCACTGTCGCTTCGATAAGTTACTATGTCACATGAAATAGGTTCAGTTTTTAGGGTTTCACTGTCGCTAATAACCTAATTAACTACAAATCATTGTATTGGTGGCCAGTCAACACAAAGCATTAAGTAATTTCATGCAATAGAGATTGGAGGAAAAGAATCATGAATCAATCCATCAAATCAAGAGATAGCTACATCCTATGGTGTTTCCCCCAGAAATTGGGGTTTAGTTCATGACGAAAATAAAACACACAATCATGTTTATAATCATCATGTTACGAAGAAAAGCAAAAGAAAATAAATACTGATAATTGCTTCCCGCTGCTCTGCACTCGATCGCTGCAACAAGCTGCTCGCTCCGCTTCAGTCCGTCCCTAGCTTGCGATCGTTGCGTGTCCCAAGCCTCTGTCCTCGCCGCGCTACTCCAAAGAAATTCTCCCCGCGACCTTTTTTCTCCTCTCAATTAATTGCTCATGGACCAACAAAAGTTGCCCTCCTCAAATCGTATCCCCAAAACCCAAAAATAAAGTGCCGCCCCTCAATAATTGCCTCCCTTTGCCCTTTTCTTTTGTTCCGTCCAAAACATCTGCTCCCCTGGCCCATTAATTGCTTTCCCCTTTGCCAACCGAGATCCGCCCCATTGATTCCGCCCAGCCTTTCCAACATATCCTCCGGTCCAATTTTGTTCTGTGTCCAATTCCCTAACCCATCAATTCTTTGTTCCACCGCCAGCTAATTGGTCCTGGCCCATATCATTAATCCCCATCCAGCTGGGCTTTAAGCCCAACTTTCGAGAAATGTTTGCCGGTGCAACTTCTTTTTCGTGTTTTCTTCACCTGTAATACATCAAACTCATAGCACTAGGCAGTAATGGTTTTTCAACCATTCTCGGGTTAGGAAGCCCTCAAATAGCACCAATTGGCTAAAACATACCATGGATAATCACATAAAGTCCAAGAATTCAATATGTTAAAGCCGATTATCACAACCCCACACTCAATTGTTGCTTGTCCCTAAGAAACGACTCAAAAGACACAAACACATAATCATCCAAAACAATGACACACCACTGACTCAACACTCAAAGCAAAACACAAAATTTCCTTGTACTCTTGTTGTAATCAGTAGTTTCTTTCTCAACGGACAAGTTGTGCTTTAATGGTCATACCTTTCACCCCACACTCAAGGTCTTTGCAACCATTACCATTGACTGACTCAAATCCATCAAAAACTCATATAGCAACACTCAATTTCGATCGTCAGTAGTAGGTGATTAACAACTTATGGAGCAACAGTTATTAGAAGAATCTAACCACATCAGTGAGGTGCATATCTCGTGAGGACAATCTGGCTTACTCACACCAATCATAAGCAATTAATTAAGCATGAGTCTCAAAAACTAATGGGGGAAGCCTTTCGCGAACATGATTTTAACTTCAAGCACATCACTACCTTTTATGACAAGGAGAGGCTTTCTCTCTTTCTGCTTTTTCTTGCCAAGAGGTCGTATTAAGTACAAGTGGGATTTGTTTCTTACTACCGGTGACCGAGCAAGAGCAATTTCTGCTTCTTAGCACTCGCATAAGGCTTCTTTTAACTCCTTTACCTCGGTCCGTGTGGAGGGTCATTGAACATCCTCTAATGGCACTTCACTCAACTGGGGATCGTACTTGATAAGCAACATCGTACGGTCGCGAACCGATTCTCAATTGAATCTTTCCTAATCCCCATGTGCAATGAGTGATTGCCTCACACGATTTTGGCATTTTTACCCACACTTTAATTGTTATGGCAACTTTCTTATATTTTACTTGTCAGGTAGTGTTTTCTTTTATAAAGATACAGTTCACCCCATCATAAAACCATCAAAACAGAGAGACTCGTTGCCAAATCAAAAGCTCACAATTGATGCAAGTAAGCACGGTATCCAAACATGTCGAATGGTCAATGTTCTCCACCTAACTACTTCACCATAAGGCATTACACTATCATCACAAAAGAGAACGTTGCTAAAAGAGTTTGTTCATTCAAAGCATATCAAGTCAGTCAAAACATTCAAGCTCATTGTGAAGAACTATGCAATTCAACACTAGTGGGGTGATTTCGATGATTTCATTCAAGCACAAACTCATTTCACATGCATCACACTCATTTACATCATGTTACCACAATAGTGCAAGGTTTTGTTTTTCATTTTTTTGATTTTTAGGTGTTTTTTAGCCATTAACTTTGCACAGGCAGCCTGCTTTTTACACAGGCAAACTGCATGCAGTTTGGCTGTGCTCAACCTAATGGCAATTTTTTTTTGGATTTTTTTTTACCGACCACATGACAAAAGGAACAAACAAACACTAAGACTCGCCACCCCACACTCAGGATGGAACATTGTCCCTAATGTTCAACTCCTAATCTAAACATGCACGGGTTTGACACAGCGAAAAAGAAAAATAAAGAAAAGAAAACTTACCCTGGGTTGCCTCCCAAGAAGCGCTTGTTTAACGTCCTCAGCCTGACGTTCATGGAGCTTTCAACCAATGGGTATGGAAAGGTATCCAGAATACCCTCCCGAGCAATGATAGAACACATAACCTCCATCCAGCATATGAGTCACCTCTGTAGGGCCAGGTGTGCGAAAATTTGGTATGACCTTCTTAGTTGGCATGTTGGACCCTTTAGTGAGGCGTAGGTGGTATTGCAGCGCCTCAAGCAACTACTCTTCCTGTTCCAATGTCAGTGAAGAAGGAATAATAACAGGAAGATTGAAATCCTTACCCAAATATCTATACTTGAGGTGACCTGGTAAGGATTTCTGTCCTTGCTTTGATTTCAGACTTTGAGCTGCTAGGACATGTGATAGTTCTTTGGGTGGTCCAATATCACAG